AGGCTGAGCCACCGAGCCCGGCTTGGAGATTCTTTCAATGCCCATTTCATAATGGGTGATTTACGCAACAACGTGTGGCAGTGAAATTTTGACCACAAAACAGCATGACCCCCCCTGCCATGCTCCACCCTCCCTCATCACCCAATCTCGTCCCGAGCAATTTTTTTTTTGTTTCCCCAGATGAAAAAAGTCCTCACAGGGAAATGTTTTACCGATGTGGAAGAGGTGAAACAAAAAAGCGACAAAAGCACTAAAAGGCATCCAAATTGAAGAGTTCAAAAATGGTTTGGGGTCATGGAAAAAGTGTCTCGATGGGTGTATTGTACTTTGAATGTTACTGAAGTTTAAACGTGTAAGAATAAATACACAATTGTTTAATAAATAAATTCTGGGCTTTTAGGGTCCCCCCCCTTGTATTTGCATCTTTAGGTGCAGCTGAAAATACACGGGGTCTGCCACAGTCGCTCTCAGATTATTTGGGGCTTTTAAAAACACCCAGATCTCCCATTTTCTATGGTAAGCAGCTATACGCCATCTGATGCAAGGCCACAGGACAAGCTGGGTACAGTGGCTCACACCTGTAATCCCAGTACTTTGAGAGGCGGAGGCGAGAGGGTTGCCTGAGCTTAGGGGTCCAAGACCAGCCTGAGCAACATGGCGAGACCTTGTCTCTACAATCAATCAAAAAAATTAGCTGGTCTGATTGGCCTGGTGGCACATGCCTGTAGTTCCAGCTACTTGGAAGGCTGAAGCAGAAGAGAAGGATTGCCTGAGCCCAGCAGGTCGAGGCTGTGGTGGCCGTGAGTGTGCCACTGCACTCCAGCCTGGGCAACAGAGTGAGACTCTGACTCAAAAAAAAAAAAAAGAAAGGCTTGGCCGGGCTCGGTGGCTCAGCCTGTAATCCCAGCACTTTGGGAGGCCGAGGTGAGCGAATTGCCTGAACCTGTGGGTTCAAGACCCGCCTGGGCAACTTGGTGAGACCTCATCTCTACAACAAATCAAAAAATCAGCTGGGCGTGGCAGCACGTGCCTGTAATTCCGGCTACTCGGAAGGCTGAGGCGGAAAGATTGCCGGAGCCCAGCAGGTGGAGTCTGTGGTGGCCGGGAGCGGCCACTGCACTCCAGTCTGGGTGACAGAGTGAGACTCCAACTCAAAAAAAAAAGAAAGGCCACAGGACACATGTGCAGGCCAGGCTGGTGAAGGCGTTCTCGAGTGGGCCCTGACTCTGCCTTTGCTCTGCCCGCCTGCAGTGTGTGCCACCCGACGAAGCCTGCACCTCGCTGGACGCCTCCATGATCTGGGCCATGATGCAGAATAAGAAGACATTCACCAAGCCCCTCGCTGTGATCCACCATGAAGGAGAGCCCAAAGGTACGTTCTGGGAGGCTCAGTCAGAGAGGAGGGGCTGCAGGCTGCTCACTAAGAAGATCCAATACTGGAGATCAGAGTCCAGGCTTAGTTGCTTTAGAAGCGGAGTCTTGACAGGTGCGGTGGCTCACGCCTGTCATCCCAGCACCTTGGGAGGCAGAGGCGAGAGGGTGGCTTGAAGCTCAGGGGTTTAAGACCAGCAACTTGGCGAGACCATGTCTCTACAATAAACCAAAAAAAATTAGCCAGACCAGACATGGTGACGCGTGCCTGTAGTTCCAACTTCTTGGGAGGCTGAGGCAGAAGGATCCCCTGAGCCCAGAAAGTCGAGTGTGCCACTGCACTCCAGCCTGGGCAACAGAGTGAGACTTTGACTCAAAAAGAAAAGAAATCTTTATCCGAGAGTCTGCTTTAGTTGGTTCTCCTGCTGCCATTATGGCTGAGCTGTGAGTAGTGATACATTTGCAAATGATTTCCTCTGTAAAAAGTCAAATCAGTGGCTCAAGCCTGTAATCTCAGCACTTTGAGAGGCTGAGGCAAGAGGATTGCCTGAGCCCAGGGTCTGAGACCAGTCTGGGCAACTTGGGGGAACCTTGTCTCTACAAAAAAATAAAAAATAAATCAGATAGAAGTCAGGCTTGGCCTTGTCATAATGTCACTCTCCTTTGCATTCAAATATGTTACCAATGAGTATGCGAGAAAGGGTTAGAGTTGCACATAATCCACAGCTCATCTTTCTGTGATCTGCTGGTAATGATTGTACTGGCCACAAGCTATTATATTGCTTTGTCAAAATTCCAGATGCCAGGGTAGGCATGGAGGCTCATGCCTATAATCTCAGATAATTCCAGCAGTTTGGGAGGCTGAGTTGGGAGAACTGCCTGAGTTCAGGAGTTTGAAACCAGCCTAGGCAACATAGAGAGACCTTGTCTCTACAAAAAAATCAAAATATTAGCAGGGCATGATAGTGCATGCCGGTAGTCCCAGCTACTTGGGAGGCTGAGGAGGAAGGATTGCCTGAGCCTTGGAGGTTGAGGCTGCAGTGAGCCATGATTTTGTCACTGCATTCCAGCCTGGGTAACAGAGTGAGATCCTGACTCAAAAAAACAAAAAATCGCAGATGCCTTTAAAAAGGTGTTATGTATGTGAGCATTATTCATCTGTGGTGTCACAGCAGAAAGAAAGAAGATTCAGAATCACTGCCCAAATACCTTTTACAATTCAATTTTCAGAATTTTGCATCAAGCGCATGGTGGCTCACGCCTATAATCCCAGCACTTTGGGAGGCAGAGGTGGGAGGATTGCCTGAGCCCAAGGGATCAAGACTAGCCTGGGCAACTTGTCGAAACCTCGTCTCTACAATAAATAAAAAATTTAGATGGATGTGGTGGCACGTGCCTGTGGTTCCAGCTACTTGGAAGGCTAAGGCAGAAGGATTGCCTGAGCCTAGCAAGTCGAGACTGTGGTGGCCGTGATCATGCCACTGCACTCCAGCCTGGGTGACAGAGTAAGACTCAGACTCAAAAAACAAACATTTGTTGCTTAAAGCCAAGAGTGCCTCTTTCTACACATGCAGGAACATTCAGCAAGCTTCATCTTCTAGGAGAAGAAAGGATGTGTCCTAAGAAGTGTGACATCATCAGTAAATGGAAGGATAGGCAGGGCACGGCCAGTTCTGGCATGGGCCAAACCAGCAGAGAAACAGAGCTGGGCCATAACAGGAAAGCTGGGAATGGATTTGTGGCCCTCTGAGACCATCTGACAGGGACCCACATTGCAGCTCTGAGGGCTGTAGACAAACGTGGACATGCCAGGTAGCTGTCAACATCTGAGGGATAGAACCAAATGTCACATGGGATAATTATAGTTGTCACTGCCTAGAAATATTGCTGTCTAAGGGTGTCAAACTGGGAGATAGCTGAGAGAGGGAAAGTAGATTCCAAGCCTCTGGGGTTAGCTATTTCAGGGCTGGAGCTGCAGGTGGCCTCCCAGCATTCTGAGGGGCAGGGAGGAGCCTGAGCCCCCAGAGGCTTTGACAAAAGCCAGTGAACTGCCTGGCTTGAGTTGCTGGACATTAGCTGCGTGGTGCTGATACCAGATCTAGGCTGTGGACTGGCCCTGGGATGGCACTTCTGGTCTGAGCATTGTTGGATTGGCAAGAGTAGCACCGGGGTGGCCGCCCTGGGGCAGGAAGTACTTACAAGAACAGAGGCATGTGTGCTGTCCAGCTTCTTATTTGGCTGAGGGACTTTTGTGAAACTAGTAGTGCCCTTTTTGTGGTCACACCTGGTGGTAGCACCTGCCTCCTTCCTGGGAACGTGCTTCCTTTAGAAGGGCACAGGCATGTAGCTAGGAGCCTGAGGCCCTGCTCTGAGCTTTCCTGCTCACTGACTGTGGTACTCAGATGACCACCTCTTTGGATTTTGATTTCTTTATCTGGAAAGGAGAGGTTTGGACCAGAGGTCCGTTTAGCTGTAACACCCAACTTTGTTGTTTGAAGAAGCAAAATACCCTTTAATTCATTTCTGACCACTGTGAAGGTGGAGTAGGCTGTCCAAGGAGCTGTTTCTCAGCAATGGTTTTGTTGTTGTTTATTCTACTTGTATTGGTTGGTTTTCAAACACTTGAAAGTTATGACAGGCCAGGCCCGGTGGCTCACACCTATAATTCCAGCACTTTGGGAGGCCGAGGTGAGAGGATTGCCTGAGCCCACAGGTTCGAGTCCAGCCTGGGCAACTTGGTGAGACCTCATCTCTACAATAAATAAAAAAATTAGTTGGGTGTGGTGGCGCGTACCTGTAGCTCCAGCTACTTGGAAGGCCGAAGCAGAAGGATCACTTGACCCCTCAGGTAGAGGCTGTAGTGGCTGTGAATATGCCATTGCTTTTCAGCCTGGATGACAGAGTGAGACTCTGACTCAAAAAAAAAAAAAAAAAAAAGAAAGTTATGACAGACCCAGTCTTTGTGTCAGGGTTACCCAAATGGTTCCTTTTTGTTGGGTTCAGGAGAAAGAAATAAGAATAAATTAATTGTATTGCGAAGTAAGCACAATGGGGCCCTGGCTGACCGTTTTACGCTGTGAAAGTGGTTTAACACGGGCAGCAGCTGCTCCTTACTCATTCTGAGAGGTAATTCTCCTGGTCCCTGAAAGCAGCAGCTTGCTTTTACTCATGCCAGACAATGATTCGACATTAATATCGCTGCAGTATGACTTCCAGCAATTCATTTATTCTTCTTTGGAGTCTGGTGGCATTCTCTAAGTGGTTTTGCTTGTAAATTAGGTAATTACTTTGATTTAAACTTAGTGTCATTGTATTGAGAGTTCACTGCTTTCTTACATAAGAGTTCAAGAGGAAAGTTTTACCAAATATCAAAGCAGTTTTATGAGATTTGCTCATGGAGACTGGGTTTTAGTGGAGCAGCCTGTGGGTGAAGAAAGGTTATTTCTTGGTTTGTTAACCAAATTGAGGGGGTTAAACTGCAGGCCAGCATCCCAGGGCCTGTGAGCAAATTTGTTTTCTAACTTTGCAGTGGAATTGGGTAGGTTTTTCTGGCAGTTTTCAACTCTGTGTGTGACTCCTCTCACCTGTTATGTTTATTTTCCTTTGTCTCCAAAGTCATGTCGCTTCAGTGCAGACCATTGGAGTGAGAATTGGAATAGTTTTCTGAAAAGGGAATGTGACCGTTTGCCTAATAGCATTGACTTATTTAAATAATAACAGGGTCATGAATGTTCTTCCTGCCAGACAGTTTTGTGTTCCTTTATTGGAGTATCTGTGGGAGAAGGCAGATCACTTAATGAGATTCACTTTTTGGGTAACAATTTCCCAACCTATGGAATGCTTTTGTGCCTTTTAAGATAGGTGATCTGTGAAGACTATGCCAAAGCTCAGCTCTCACTGGTCACTTGCTTCATCTTACTTTTCTTTTCTTTTTTTGAGTTGGAGTCTCACTCTTGTCGCCCAGGCTGGAGTACAGTGGCACGCTCATGGCCACCGCAACCTTGACCCGCTGGGCTCAGGTGATCCTTCCCCTATGCCTTCCAAGTAGCTGGAACTAGAGACGCATGCTACCACACCCGGCTAGTTTTTATGATTTGTTGTTGAGACAAGGTTTCCTCATGTTGCCCAGGCTGGTCTCGAACCCACGGGCTCAGGCAATACTCTTGCCTCAGCCTCCCAAAGTGCTGGGATTACAAGCTGAGCTCTTTTTTGTTTGTTTGTTTTTTAATTAGAGATGGTGTCTTGCTATGGGGTCAGGGTAGTCTTGAAGTCTTGGGCTCAAGCCATCTTCCTGCCTCAGCCTCCCAAAGTGCTGGGATCACAGACATGAGCCACCACAACTGGCTTGTCTTATTTTTCAACACTTGGGTTTTCCAGGGCAGCAGATAAAGGCTCTAGTTGGCAGTTTCACAGCCAGGCAGAACACTGCTCTGTGGCCACCGCTGCCAACAGCACTGACATACTTCAAGTGTTGTTTTTTCTGTGGACAGGTAGGGTAGGCCATCAAGACTAAATAAATAAATCTGGGTTCCTCTTTTGAGCTGCTGGTTTTCATGAAACCTTCATGAGTGCATCTTGGCCACATTTGATCTCTAAGTCCCTTAAGAACCAGTGCTGGGTTAGCAGTCTATTACTACTTAGACTTTCAACAAGAGACGGTGGTGCTTGGCCAGGTGACTTCACCTCTCTCACTGCTGTGATGATGCTGATGGAGATGAGGGTGAGATCTAACATTTACTGAGCATTTACTTTGTACAAGGCTCTGTGCTAATTACTGTATGTGGCCAAGCATGGTAACTGACGCCTGTAATGCCAGCACTTTGGGAAGCCAAGGCTAGAGGATTGCCTGAGCTCAGGGGCTCAAGACCAGCCTGGGCAACATGGTGAGACGTTGTCTCTACAATAAATCAAAAACTTAGCCGGACGTGGTAGCACATACCTGTGGCTCCAGGTACTTGGAAGGCTGAGGCAGAAGTTATCGCCTGAGCCCAGCAGGTGGAG